CAATGGCAAAGATTTTAAGCATTTCTAGACAAATGGATGTGGCTAAGCAGTTATATACATTTGCATCAGAGTTATCTTTCCTGGACCATATCTCTATTTGTCTCCATAACGTGACTTAACTCAAATTGAGTTAAGTCTGATTACACAAAATATGCTAAAAATAATTCGCATAGCTCTAATGAATTTAGTGAGCTACCTTTGGATGCTAATGAATTTGATAAAATTTATGCAATTGCCAAAAGGAACCAAGGGGCAATTACACACTTGAGAATCTCTGAATTTAATTTCAAGAGTACATCAATTTTGAAGTTTCAATTAAAACAAAGGCTTGTCTTGTTGGTTGATTGTGTTGTTTAATGTGGAGGACTTTATTTTAGTCAAGTATGAACTAAATTCCTTTTGCATGATAATAACTTATATCCTGATTTATGCTGAACTGTGAACATTACCCTTACAACTTACAATATTTGAATTTTCCTTGTTGATCCTCAAAGCTGGAAATGGTATAACTTTGGTTCCGAGCCCCCTTGTTTTTTTTGTTTTTTTGTTTTTTTTAAAATCACAATTAATGCCCTCTATTGCAAAATGCAGTAAAAAATTCCCTTATTGTATCAGTTGAAAATGTTCAATTGAATAAAGGCTGCGAAAATTGATAAACACCGATTATAATGTTTTGATCACTTTTACTGCTATTAAGCCCCCCTTTTATGGTTATTTTTTTTTTTAATGCACGATTTATAAAACATAATTACAATAACTATTCCTCAATCCGATATATATTTTTGCTTATAAAACTAAAACATGACCAAGTTTTAACACAAATTATGCCACATATATGCCGATATGGAATTTTTTTTAATCCAAGCCAATCTCGCATTTTTTCGAAAAAGAACAATCCATCCATATATCTAATCATCAAATCAGATACATGTATTTGTCTATACTGTTTTATGAAATTATTTTAGAAATAATCGTGATTGAAAGCATATTTTTTGAAAATTCTGTCTGCTACAAAATTATGTACCTTTCGTTTTAGGATCCAGGGCAAAAAGGGGGAATTTTAGATATCCTGAACCCGATCTAATTTATATTCAAGCTAACCCAACTCAAATAGCAAGAACAAAGTTTTCCTCATAAAATAAGCGCATCTATTCTTTGAATTAATAGATGCTATTATGTAAAACCGGATTGTCCAATTGTATATTCAATTTATGTGAAAACGAAAGGAAAAATCAACAAAAATTTTTTTTACATTGTTTCTTTTTTGTCATTGCTTGTTTTCTTTTTGGTGTTTAATATAAATATATAAAATTTCTATTTACATAATTTACAATATACGCTACTGTTTTTTTAATGCATAAGATGTTTTACAGATGTTTGCGTCACTGCTTATTATGTGTAAGAGTTTTATATTTTGGATCCAGGGCAAAAAGGGGGAATTTTAGATATCCTGAACCCAATCTAATTTATATTCAAGCTAACCCAACTCAAATAGCAGCAACAAAGTTTACCTCATAAAATAAGCACATCTATTCTTTAAATGAATAGATGCTATTATGTAAAATCGGATTGTCCAATTGTATATTCAATTTATGTAAAAACGAAAGGAAAAATCAACAAAATTTTTTTTACATTGTTTCTATTTTGTCATTGTTTGTTTTCTTTTTGGTGTTTAATATAAATATATAAAATTTCTTTTTACATAATTTACAATATACGCTACTGTTTTTTTTTAATGTTTTACAGATGTTTGCGTCACTGCTTATTATGTGTAAGAGTTTTATATTTTGAATTTCTTCTATGATTAGAACCATATATGTTGTAAAAAACGCTTTACCAAAACTTATAAGATAGCTAAAATTATCGATCCTTGTAAAAAGTTAATTATTTCCTGATACATGTAATTACAAGGAGCACACGGCGGTTCTGTCCGATTGTCAGGGGAGGGGGTGTTGACTCCTCCATGGCGCATGACCCAGCTCTGATGTTTTGGATGTCCGAATTTGTTCTGGTCCTATTTTTGAGCTTGAATACTGTTCGTTATCTCCATATATTTCATGTATATTGTTAAGAGGCGTTATGTACAAAAGTCATAAAATTACTTGCTAATTACCTAGACATTTCTCACATTTTGAAAAAATTCCTTTTCCATTTTCGTGGTATTGCAATCATAGTTAGATTGGTATATTTAACAAAAATTTGGTTGATTTATTTTTTGATCAAACAAACGTTCATCCTTATACATTTCAAAATAATTTAATTGAAACTCAAAAACCTGTAAAATTGGTTCACAGGTCAAATGTAACATGATTAAATAAACAGATTAATCATTATAAAATCGAATAGAAACTAATTAAAATTCGCAAAGTAAATCTGCTCTAGGATAATGATACTTATGATTCCACTAATAACTTACTTTGAAAGATGGTTGATCGATTGTTATTGTAAAACGCCTAGTCAGCAATATCTCATCCATATGTCGGCTGTTGAAAAGATGGTAATTGGTAATTGGATACAAAATATCCAATAGGTAAATTAGTCGAAAAAAAATAATACAAGCTAATATTTGATTCCTTTTCCTAACTTTGGCCCTTGAGTATCACGTTCAATTTATATTCTTAAATTTTTTGGATGATTTGGATAAATCGATTGTCGGTATGCTTTATGTGATTTATGGTCAAAACAGCGCATCGGTGCCAATTTGTCCTACATTTTCCTAACATGTAGAGGAAATTCAATAATAATATTCCATGTTTATTTTCTTCATGTGTCGATCTTTTTTGGGAAAAAATAATGTAAAATAATAAATGCTTTTAATGAGAGTAGTATTCCCGAACGAACTTTTGAAATCAACTCGTAAAATCTCTTCAGGTTCATAGATACTCTGATAAGAGAGATAACTCTTAATATCACAAACGTCTATTATTTCTTTATAAATTTGTCAAGTTGAAGTGTCTTTCTTTTTTTTTGTCCAATTATGCCCGCAAGATATGCTATAATTGTTTATATTTTACTTATAAAATACATTTCTTTTGGAAAATCATTAAGGTTAAAGCAAGATTTTATACTGTGGTTTCTTCAATAATCGTGGAGCACCAATTTTCGAGGATATCGTTGTTGAGCAGATCCACGAAATTCAATGTTCGTGGCATTAAGAAATTTGCTTTTCATTTGTATAGGCAATGCTTTTATCCACGAATTTACGTATCCTCAAAAACGTATGTTTTACAAAATCCACGAAAATTGATACCAACGAAAATTGATGAAACCACAGTATGAGTGAGCAGAGGGTTTATGAACCATAAACTGTCATCTTTACATGTAGATCGTATTTTAAAATTGAAACAAAATAGGTATATGTTAGTATATTTGTATTATGAAAATATTATATTTGTATTAATTGAATAGACCCAACGAGAGAAAATAAAACTATTTTATCAACGTATTATCTCAGATTCCCTATAGACAACAAAATATATATTTAATTGTTTTTTTATGAGAAAATAAAACTATTTTATCAATGTAATATATATATAAGTGGTACTATCAAACAGTTAGTTGGTTCGAAAGAAATTAGGTTAACCGATTGACAATACACTATTCGATTAGAAAAAAACAACTCTTGATGTGGTTTATAACTCGATATATAGATATATCAACTACGTATAACAAGTGTTAGTTCCATTCTTATATTGATACGATGTATCTTTCGACGAATTACGAGAAATATAGTAAATATATTCTGAAAGTCCAGGAAAAAAACTGAGCGAATTTTTACACAATATTGACACTTTTATAGTAATATCTAAAAAATTTACATCATATACCCCCCTTTTGAGGTTCTTTTCTGAAAATTTAAGATAACTTTGACCTATTTACTTAAATTCTGCAAAAGTTTAAGACTTTAAAAAAATTTTCTTGCTTCTTAAATTTTCAATGCCAGAAAAAGTCACATTTTGTGAGTGCTGAAAGGTCAAATAATTGATTATTGGAAGCAATTTGAAACTTTTTCTCAGTCACAATTTTATAGTGTCTTTTTAAGATAGACTTACAGTTTATTTTGTTCCATGCTTTATTTGGAACATAAATAGTTTATATGACTCACAATGACAAGTTCTATTTTATCGTGTCGACCTACCTAGCCTGTATTTTATTTTATCGTGTCGACCTACCTAGCCTGTATCCTACAGTGTCTTGCATTTATCCTTTCACTTTTCTATTTATCATCTTTGTTGTTGCGTTTGTCAGGTTCCTGTGTTTTTTTAGATATAAAAATATAGCAAGAGAGTAAATGGTGTGAGCAAGCTCAAATTAACATTCGGTCTAAAAAAACTATCAGTTTTTCATTAATTTTATCGATATTAGGTTATGATTGTTTTATTTAGCAAGTAAAAAAATCTTTATATACGTAATGCGAAGAAAGAAAATTGACAGGTAATCTAAATGCAAATGCGCAATGATTTTACATTTTATTTAACAATTGTACCCGTTTGACTGTAAGAATATTTCACACTTTTAGTTTTAAAATAAAAGATAAATAATCAAATATAATTCATTATTTTCTTACTTTACGTCTAACATTTTTTGGAATACATTTGCAAGAGTTTTAAATGAAATCCTTTCCTAAAACTCAGTTAAAAGTCACAATCCAAATAGTAAATTATTTAGTTATTTACACAGTAGATGTATTACTGCCATCACAGACAAAAAAATTGAAATGTATTGTTTAATATAGCAATCAATATTGTAATCAAATATCAAAGTATCAAACAGTGATCAAGCTCGAAAGTCCATTGGGAAAACACAAATTGAAAGCAGAGAAACAAAGACCTCAAAACATATCAGATGGATCTGATGCCATGGAGGAGTAACCATCCCTTACGGACCGACATACCCACCGTTTGTTCCTTGTCATGTTTTGGTAAATGATTATAATACATAAACGATACAACTGATATTATTTGACATTTCTACTCAAAATGATTTACATGCACTGCAAAATATATCTCGGAAAGAATTATGACCCCATTTTACCTTCGTAACAAAGTTTCAAGGATATCGGTGGTCACATATATTTGACCTGCTGACCCTTTCTTTTGTTTTTCATTCAAATGAACAGAACCAGAAGTGAATGCACAAGGGTCTTCCTCAGTTGCATTTAAGACTTTGCCTTTTGTAAATGAAGCAATTGAAGTACCGTATTTCTTTAAAGGAAAATCATCATCGGTTAGATCAAGAAAATCAATGTCTGTTACTTCACTGGTGGACTTTTTAGAGTGTTTGCAGGTCTTAAATCGTAGTTTCTTATTTTCATTGTCTATTGAAGGTTTTAGGCACTCTGGAATGTCATTTTTCTCTATAGAGTTCCTGGTTTTGACACTCCTTCCTAGACTTGAATGAACACTATTATCCGAGATTAAAATAATTTCTCCGTTTTCTGGTTTACCACGTAATCTTTTTTTGCATTGACTGTCTTGAAATACAGATGTCTTTGAAGTACAATTAGTAAAAGTGCAACCTATTTGTTGTGAGTTTACAATTGGCTTCAAATTCTTAATAGCAGTAGATGGTTTGTCAGTTGATTTAGCTGGAGTGTTGTTTTTTCTCATTTCTTCCACCATAGATTCAAAAGCACATGTCACTCCTTTATGTAGCTTGTTCTTCTTTGTTTTCATGCCATCAACTTCCTCTTTTATTTCGTTCAATTTCATCTTTACTTCTAATTGCTAAGATAAAAACATTTGAAACATGCCATATATATTAGTGTTCTTAATAAATGAAAACGAGAAGTCGATATGCAAAACAATTTTGCCATCTTTTTGCCCATGTCTAAATCAGAACTACATTATAATACAAAGATGTCAATCCTATTTTTTATTAGAAGACGAGGTATACTTACACATACTCTTGTTAACAATTTCACTACCACGTTCTTATATTTAGACTCCAAGTTTCTGTTATGTGCTTCAAGAATCTCCTTCTCTTTCTTCATTTTCTTTATATATTCCACAGATGCTTTAAGTGTCGATCCTTTATTCAATGTCATAATGCTAGAAAAGTAAATATGTAGTATATTTTAATGAAAAATAACCTAAAATAATCATTGGAAATAGGGACTCTTTGAACAGGCCTCTGGATTCTTTTTTTTTTGGAATCATTGAAAATTTGTATACTTTTTTATCTTAAATTTTATTTTTTTAAATTTTTATTTTAGCCTTTGAATATATGTGTATCATGTGAAGAAACAGCAGGTATTTCGATCAACAATGTCTTTGTTTCGGAAGAAAAATATCAGGGATATTTCATTATCTTCTCTGATTTCTGTAAGCGTTATTTGTAGAACTATTACAGTATCTTATTCTGGCAGGGTGGTGAACAAAATTCTATGAAATATTTAATCCACGTTTTTTTTTTTTTTTTTTTTTTTTGCTTCAGCTAGTCTTCTATAGATGCAAAGTTATCGAATGTTACAATCTGACATGCGATGAAAAATATTTACCCATGAGCTGGTTTGGGCAAAAGTGATGCCAGTTCCTTTATTCTATCATTGATATGGAATCTTCTTCTACGTTCGACTAACAAAACAAGAAACAATATTTATTTATTAAACATTACTTTTTTTAAATTTCTAACATGGACAGATACTGACCATCTAAATAAGCAACCTTGCAATGCTAGGGGTCCTGAGTCAACACGTTGCCGTTGGACCCATGGCATATTTCTTTAATATTCCTAGGCCGGCTAAGTGACGTTATTTGGAAAAATTACAAATCTTGATTGTTTTTCTTATCTCTCAACCAATCACATCAAGCCATACTATGAATAACAACATTTCAGGTGTCAACTGACTTCTTTTTATTTACTTTATCTTACTATTTATGAAAGCTTTAATTTTATTGCTGCTTCTCTATGAGAGACGCGCCCTAAAATATCTGATGAAATATGCCAGGAGTTCAACGGTAATGTGTTGACTCAGGACCTCTTGATCTGGCATTGAGAGGATGCTTAATAAAATTGTAAGAAAAAAGTATTATTTTTACAGAGTACATATAAATGATAAAGAGAGAGAGAGAGAACCATTACTTATATTATGCTTCTCCTTCCGAATTCTCTCTTTTCTTAATAGCGGCTCTTCTAACTGTTTGGCAGAATTTCTTGATTGAAAACTGGATGTTGAGGGATTTCTCTCATTAGCATTGCAACAACTTGTAAGATTGCCTTTGTCCTGCAACGTAAGGAAATAGAGTGAGATGAACTATTCATCACTATAAAAATAAAATGTTATCAATTTTAAAAAATTACATAATTTATATATAAATTAAATTATTCATGATTGCACATGCTTTGTGACGAGCGGGGTTGCGGAAACTGACGACATTTACCGAAGCCGAAGTATGGTATTACGAGTTATCTTTCTTGGTCTAGCTTTATCCAACTTAATAACATGACCTAACTCAATGAGTTAAGTCGAATTATTCATTATATTTAAATGTCATGGAGAATAAATTTCCCTATCCCAACTAAAACACCAACATCCTTAGAGCTCAGTAGCTGAGTAAGCTTGTACATGTTTCGAGATCTGAAATAATAAGGTTTTTAATATTTTCTTCTTAAAGAATCATATACAGGACATTGAAGTAAAAAATGATATTCATCATCGATACTGTGATTATTACAAAATTTACAAATTACAACAGTACTAGTATTAATGATATGTCATAGATGCATGTAGATGAACTTGTCATGTTCTACATTTGTTAATTATAAGAAAGCATTGTTGCAGGGGATCAAAGAAAACTTTGTTTTATTTGTAAGGTAGCTATGTTTGTACTAAATGAGTTTTAATGTAGCATTAAGCTCAATGTTCATGACTTTCTCAATATATTGTGCGATTAAGTAATTTCCAAGTCCCGTTCTAAGCAAATTATCTTAACACCCCTTGCCCAATTATGTTTAGAATGTAATATATTTTTAGCATTATGCAATAAATTTTCATAAGAAGATTTCAATATACAGTTATTTGTACAGTACAAAGTAATTTACACCAGTATCAAATTTTCATAATTCTTATTTTCCTGGTTATGATTAATGGACAACAAACGTATTCACCATAAACCATGTAACAACTAGATCTTTTAATTCCGAACAGGTTTTAACTAGTGTACTAAACATAATATGAAAACAATCCTTTTCAGGTGATTTGTGATCAAAGCCCAAAATTTCTCAATCATAGTTTAGAACACTTAATATACATATGTATTAAACAACTGACAATGTATTTCTGCATTAAATTCAAACATTCGAATATTTCCATTAAACTTTTCTGCCTGAATTCAAAACATTTTTTTCTGAGCATTTTAAATTAATTGCTAATTTAAAGGTCCCAAAGATCGGACTATAATAAAATTAATTTTAATCTCTGTCTTTGAATAACATGACAAAAATAACAAATAAAATTAGTTTGTATGCACACAATATTTATTTAATATTAAACTATTAAACATGCATTTGAAAGAAATCTATCCTACCTCTTCGGAATCCAAACGCTTAAATGTGCATTTTTAATAAGTTGTATGATTGCTCAGGTACAGGTAATAAAGTATGTTAATTCAAATGCACTTTAAACAATTTTATTTGTCAGAAGCCTGATTAGATTCCTCTCTTAATTAGTTTTAATGTGAAAGATTAATCAAACCCGTGAGACACGAATTGTCGTATATCAAACTTATCACTTGTCTTCTGCTGCAAAGGAACGCTGAGAAATCAATTGACCTGGTGACCTTTTAGCCTTTGAACTTGATCTTTGACTTGAACTTTTCATAAAAGTGCATAAAACATATAGGTAATGAAACCGTTTAATTTTACCATTCAGGAACCGAAATGAACCATGGTGATAACTTATTATCATAAAATATTATAAAACAAATATTCCTAGATATGAATTTGAATAATAGAGGCGTACCTTTACTCTTTAGATCACATTATATATGTAATTGACACACTATCAGATTTTTTTTTCTTTGTAGGCAAAAACATAAACCAAGGCAGCAATAGAATACACATGGAATAATTTCATTAGCAGAATATCATTTGTTTTTAATAATATCTTAACAGTTTTTATAGAATAATATTTTTATTTGAAATGAAATAATACAGGCATACCTTATCAAACTGTACGACTTGATCAACACAGTGAAGTTTCTCTTCTTCTGCTCCATCCATTTGAATAGATTTCAAAATATCGTCAATAACATTGTCCACCTAAATAATGACTGATTTATTTAAAGTATGATTCAACTAATAAACTGGTGAGTATTTCCAATTGCAAATCTATTTTTCCTTAAATTTTATGTCGAAAAAATACTCATTGTTCCGGAGAAATATAAGAAAAAAAACGATTAACATGAAGGCTTTGAGAATTGTTTTGGTCATTTTTGATTGATTTCCATCCAAAACCATTCTTCATATCTTAAAATAAATTCTTCGTACGTCTTCAATTTCGGTTATATTTCTTATAGTTTCATGTAAGCCTTGAGAAAGCCTTGGAATACTAAAGACGTCAGCGCACTCTTCTTCTTCTAAGGTCGAAAACATCTCTTCATCCTCGAGAAGGTCATCAGTTTCCTCTTCTGGGTAAGAAGATGGTCCCTCAAATACTTCTTCCGTTATGTTTTGGTTTCCCAAAGATGTTTCCTCTTGTTCTGTTTGCTGAATATATATATATATATGATATAAATATGTATTTAACAAAGACTGGTGCAAATACACTTCTCATATAAACCTAGTGAAAGAAAATATGGTCAAATCTGTATAAATTAATGTATAAATTTATTAAGGGACCAGACGTCATAGCGTGATAGAATCACTTGGCAAGATGGTCTATTCTTCATATTTCTAATCACAATTAGACTGGTTTAGGAAATTTTAAGTTGATAGCGATAAAACACAAAATAACATTGAACCACATGGATGTTTTTTTTTTCATTCGAAAGATGCCCATATGATCTTCTCTCGATTTAATTCCGAATTCCTTTGAGGGTACGTGAACTGAAAGAAATTATACCGACGCTTTTGAGCCTCACATCTTTAAGAACTCGCGGAATAGCAAGATTTTTCTCAGTTACAATCAATTTTATATCTTTACGAACATATGTTTGTTACGAACTTTGTTGGTACATTTTCCTTGTCATAATGGGGAAATACATTGTAACGGAAAAATCCGTCGAAAATTCAGTGTGAAAAATAGCAAAACAATTAGTATGAAAAAGTCAGCCTTTGACTTAAAATGATACATTTGACAACAAACTTTACAGCTTGATGGGTTATTCTCATATTTCCTTCAAAACCAACCTCAGGTCATTAAATAAAGTACAGGTTTTCAAATGTGTTTGAAGTTTGGATCGATAGGCTCTGCATTTGGAGTCATTTATCACTATTGATATGAGAATGTCAGTATTCTGCTATGAGAAAGTCAAAATGTCTTTCCAATCTTAAAAAAATAAATATGTGGTCACAATAACACTATTTCATGTAAATGCCATGATAAATCAATTCAACCGATGTAGCAGTAAATATATTAATATTTTGTTTTGTATATAAGTGTCTGGAATCTAAATTAGCAATTGTGTATATTATCGTATCAGGTTTTGCGTTTATTGTGAAGACCGTTTATCCTGTCGTTTCGAGATCGTATCCTATTGTACCGTGTATCATGTCAGGAATACCGTTGCTGGTACTGAAATACTTACGGTATTCTTAATTTTATCAAAGATAATAAAGAATATGTCAAAATATTAAAGCACAGATTTTTTTTATTTTTGGATGTCGTTGGTCTTAATTTGTCGCGCACGACTAGGTACTATCATGGAATCGACGACAACCAAAAAATAAGAAAAATCTGTGCTTAAATATATTTAAATATTCATTTTCTTCTTTAATTTCTCTTATTCATTGTTAATGTCATAAATCTTTATTGTAAATTGAGCGCCTTTCAGAACCAATGTACACGTGCTTAATTATTGTATAAGAAGTTGTGACGTTGGAAATTTAAAAAAAATGCAAATGGATATTTCGAAGCGCAAAAGGCAATGTATGGTGTGATATGCAAAATTAGGCAGTTTAATCTCCCCTACGAATGTTAATTGGATTTGTTTGATAAAGTAGTTTTACCAGTATTGTTATATGGCTGTGAAATATGGTGGTATGAAAATATCGATATTATTGAACGAGTTCATTTACGTTATTTAAAACATATATTGAATCTGAAAAGTAGCACTCCAAGTTATATGTTTTATGGAGAAACTGGTAGGTTTCCATTACATATAAATATTTACTCAATAATGTTATTGGGCAAAACTTGTGAATTGAAAAGAAAATAAATTGTGTAGAATACTGTATACAGGGTTATTTTCGCCCCGTGTTATTTTCGCCCTTTTACACTTGCAGACAATTTTGCCCCGTTTTAAATTCGCTCTCTCAAAGTTTTGTTTAAGTACCTATACTGTATAATATGAATTCGCACCGTTTTAAATTCGCCTAAATGAGGCTAGGGCGAAAGGGGCGAAAATAAAATGGGGCGAAAATTTCCCTGTATACAGTAGTATACATGTATTTACGTAAACAACATGATAAAGATGAAATGAAAAACTCTTCGATATCACTTGTACAAAAGATTTTTGATAGATGTGGTTTATCAAATATATGGTATGAGCACGAACAATATTTTTATAATGTAGAATGGATAACTGCTACAGTCAAACAAACATTAAAAGATCAATATATTCAAAAGTGGAACAGTGAAGTTCAAGAACCTTCAAAAAGTTTAAGTTATAGAATTTTAAATTTTGAGTGCGAAAAATATTTAACACTTTTATCATTTAAATTTAGGAAAAACTTTTGTTAAGTTTAGAACCACAAATCACCACCTTCAATTGAAACAGGTAGATGGAATGGTACTTAAAGAAATGAAAGAGTTTGTAGCTTATTCAGTAGTAACCAGATAGGAGATGAGTATCATTATATTTTAGAATGTAGTGCTTTAAACCAACTAAGGAAAGTTTATTTGAACCAAAAATTTTGCTCTTATCCAAATATTATCAAGTTTTGTGAAGTCATGTGCCAAAATGATGTTGCTTAATTATCACCTTCTGCTTGACCCACTGTATTATATGCATATATGTTTTATATGTTTCGTACCTCATGTACCATTTAAATGGTTTTGAGTGAATAAATTGAATTGAATTGAGGAAAAAAAAATTAATTTTAAACATTCAATTGTTATAATTTTACAATAATGCAATGGGGTAATTGTTTTAAATCAAACTGAGCTTAGGCAATTTACATTTTGGTAATTTTAAAGTATTAAAAATGCATATAATTTGTATTCTACTGTGCTGTGACAAGGTTTCGCGTGGTTATAAGGTATAGTTTGTTGTAAATTCCCAATGGATTTCGTAAAGAAAATTATACTGAATGTAAATGTAATCCTTGTAAACAGTCTATGAACTTAAACAATAAATAAAAGTCTCTTTTCTTCGGACTATATTAAATATGAAAATGTAATAAAAAAATTCGAACCGTGGTTTTGCCTCTATTGCAATGACCTTTCGGAGAAAAAATTATTGAATTTTTTTTTTCATTCTAATTTTTTTATCCAAATAAAACTACATATCCTTTATGAAGCCATTCGTTCATTGAAAGGCGTGGTAAAAAGAATTTAAGGCGGGAGTGAAAGACATAGAGAGACATTGAGAAGTGGTCGGGGCTTAGAATAACTATTATTTTTGTGGTTTTAGGTTTATAATAAAGCAATTGGCGGTTATGAAAATTATCATGCAAGCAAAAGATTTCCATGAAGAGAAGCTATTATTAACGTCCAGTCCTAAACATAAAACATCATAAAATTCATACAGTACAGCACTTTTTCTCGAAAACGAAATCATTTGAAGACTTCAAGTTTGTTAATAATTAAAGGTCACACAAAACGATTTCCCTTTGATTTATATACGGAATCTGAGGTCATCGGAGCTATTTAAAAAAAACAAACCTGAAAATATATATTGTTTTTATGCAAGGTAGCGACAGTAGAGCCGACCACGAGAAAGAACTTCAACTGATTCAGCTTATCTCCATTTGTTTAAGGACTGATGATACAAACAAGCAAAAATTTTGAAAATAAAAACCTGGGTCATGTTTAAATGAATAAAGTGAATGAGTTTCACCGAGGAGTTTTTAATTTTTTTTCAAAATTTAATAATTTGTTCAAAGATGTTTTTTAAAAGCCATTGAATTTTTGGAAGGGTCTTATATGTTTTATCTTTGTAATTTTGATTGGATCAGTGTCGTCAATCAACACCGTAATAATCGATCGCTCTCTCTCTCTCTCTCTCTCTCTCTCTCTCTCTCTCTCTCTCTCTCTCTCTCTCTAATTTATCCTTTCTCATTAGAGTTCTTAAAAGAATCTCTTCATTTTTTGAAAACACTTGCAGATATTTTGTTTTTTTTTTTTCAAATCAACATTTCTCTCAAACAAAATAATACACAAATGATGATGATGTTGATGAGGATAATATTAATTAGATTAATACATCGTAACAATAAATTGTAATAATAAAATTATGTAAGTTATAATAAAATATTTCCATGTAGTACAGTTTAAACGTAACAAAACTTCTTAAGGCATTATAATCATCTAGCAATACTAGTAGTTCCCTACCGACAAGAGTAATGTGAAAAAATCGAAAATGTTGTGAGTAAAAAAAAATCATTGAACCGGGACAAAATGCAAGCTTAAACTCTAAGTCATAAAGTAAAATTCATTTACCCCAAAATCAGATAAATATAGCTGAAAGCTTCTTGGAATAAAATCGGAAAACACTGCAAGAATTAAAAAGACAGTAGCTACGTCCAAAATCATGACATTGGAATGAAATGCAAACTTCTTCTGTTACTCATGAAGGTAAAGTCACAGACCGAAACTCAATTTATTATCTGCAAGTGTTAAGAGAAAAAAATGAAAACCAGGTGAGACAGACTGACAGTTAGATAGACAGCTAGACAGACGGGCCGACAGAGTGGGAGGAAACCTTATACTCCCTTCCGTTTTCACCGCTTGTATACTTATAAAAGTAATTATGGCATTTAATATCAGAAAATAGTCGTTTAAATGCCTTTGTTTTCATTTAAATGAATTTCCCCATTTTATGATACAAAATCACTTTATACACTGTTATTATCACTAGGGATTATTTTTAAAGTCCGACATTTTAACACATGGTTAAATTTATGTAAACCTACTAATTTTACAACTTCTAGTGGTAAAGAGAGTCAAGAGAAGCAAAGCTTAAAATGTAAGTTCGGGATGTACATGTAATTATGTGGATAAAAATGCTTCGTTTGGAAATTGAAATACAAGGTTCTTGAAGTCTACATAAAGTCAGCAATTCTATAATGACCCAGACTAGATATAATGCTTTCAAAAATACTTAACAGTAAACAGGTTTGCAAAACTTCACTTAAACGGTGCGTAAGTATTGACAAAATGACAGAAAAAATTAAGAGGAACACACTACATTACTTTAATGTGAAGTAAAAAAAATATTTTCATTACAGATAACATATTGCAATATTTCGAAAAATCTAAAATACCAACAATAAAAAATCTTTTATTAAAGTGGTAAAATGTATATCTATATACTAATTACACAATATCTATAAGAAGTGCTTAAAAAACATGTTTATTTAATGCAAATCTTTCCTAGTAAATGTTGGGTATAAAATCGAATTGATTGCATTGAACATGGAGTCTAATTTAGAAGCTGGCTATTATCCATCCAACAGTTATACAACATACCTTTTCCTGCAAATCAAAAGGATTAATTTCAATTAAAGG